TCCTATTTTATACATTTACTAGAATAATGTCTACAATAATGCCAATTTTGGCTCTCTTAAAAAAATAAATGATATTGCAATAACATCAGCAATATATTCATCTGATTTCAAGTTAAATATGTTGCGATTGATTTCTCCTTTAAATTAATTTATGGTATTTATCTCATTATTTGGTTGATTATAATATTTGTATATTTATCTCATTATTTGGTTGATCTCCTTACTGCTAATGTTTATAAGAATGTGTATGCTGTTGGGTGGGGGGTAACACTATTAAATTCTTAGCTTTATCTAATATTTTGGCCATGAATATCATGGATGCTAATTTGGATATGAATATATCTTTCAATATGAGAAACAGATTGGGTGTGGAGTGATTTTGCTAGTTTGCCTTGCTTTGTAGTTTTGCTCTTCTGATTTTTACAAACTCTTTTATATGCCTGATGATTTCATTTTGAATGAAGTATTCTCGTGGCCCAAAAAAATTACTTTGATTGAGAGGAAGATACAAGTAATTAAGCTTTATTATATTAAAAAAAACGTAACTAAGCTTTAGCCATCAAATAGGTCAATGTTTTTAAAAAATAAATTTTAATAATATAAATATTAAATTTTAATAATTTTTGAGTAAAACACTCTAACTACCTTTTAGTTTACTGTAATTACACATACTTCCCCTATATTTTGAAAACAGAAGTTTAGTCCAATCCGTTAAGAATTTTTCATATTCTAAGAAGATTCTAAAAACTTGTTTTTTTTATTAAAACCTATATTAAAACAAAATTTATCTAACTTATCGCTCACTCTAATAAATCCCTAAATTAATTAAAAAACTTATTTTTAATTACAATTTATGTGAAGACAAATTTTATTTACCAATTTACCACACTCTAATATAAATTATATTGTTATTTTTATGATTACATGAATTTCATTTAGTAAACAAAAAAGAAAAGAATTTAAAATTTTTTATCATGTTTGTTTAAACTTTTAAAAATTACCAGAATGTCATTAAAAAGTAAGATACACAAAGATATCATAAAATTTTAAAATAATAAAATAATAAATCATTTGTATAAAATAAAAATCAATGGGGGCATCATAACATTTTAAAAATAACTAATTAATAATTACTTTTTTATAATCTTAACCAAACATAAAATAATCTTCTTTTTATAAAATACCTACAAAATTAATCTATTTTTATAAAATCTCTAAACTATCCAAAAATTACTTATTTTTTTAATCTTACACAAACAGGTACATAATCTGACTCTCAACTTCCATCTACCCTTTGCAGAAGACAATTTCATATTTTATTGTCCTTTGCTATAACCATAGACAAAAGCTAGGGTCAAAGCATACTTAGTGTTATGCTATACTTACCAATACCTATTTTTACACATGGCCAACTATATGTTATTGTATCTTGTGCGTGAATTCAGCAATAGTTGAAGGTGTTAATTATTGGTATAGGTGGTATATCCACAAACATTGCTTCCAGCGTATTCCCTCCGGTCTTATTTATAAGGCAGAGAGAGAAGATTCCTTTTTTTCTATTTATAAGTTACCTCGTTAAATTTTTATCATAAATTTTTTCATTTGACCTCCATTGAATATTGGAAAGAGAAAATATATTGTTAAAGTGTGTGTGTGTATTTAATAGGGGCAAAGTTGATATATTATTAAATTTCTAGATAAAGTTAATGAAATTTAAAATTTTCATTAGTTCCGGTGAAACATGTTGGAAATGACATATAAATAAAATTAGAGGAGCAGTGTATAAGGAGATTTTTAATAATCTAACTTACGTATGATAGCCACCTATTCATTGAGGTCCCATACTTTTATATATTTTTTAAATTTTTATCTATCTTTCTTTATTTTGTGTAACAAATTGTTACATCTATTTTATTTCCGTGTTTAAAATTTATCTATGATCATGTTCTCCTCCTATCTTTTTCTTTGTTTGGGTTATTATTATTTGTTGATCAAGAAGTTATTTCTTTTTATTATTTTACTCATATAACTATTTAATATATATTGATTACGGTTATTTAACACTTAAAAGAATTTATAAAAATAACATCCCGTGCGTCACGGATGATTAACTAGTTAAATCTAAATCTCCAATATGTCATTTGGATAATACTAAAGATTGAACACAAGTCTCGAACATGTTGATCTCAACATGATCTCACATCTTTGTAGGTCAACAATGATGGATTGATGGTTTTGTTTTCTTGCTGTTTACTGTCATATAAATAAACGCTTGCATGCAATATACGGCACCCTTATATATTATTTTCCTTATATTATCTAATATTACAAACTAGTTAAATTTAAGCATCACAAAAAAATGTAGATGTCCTAATATGATTTTTGTTCATCAACAAAATTGAAATCAGCATCGAACATGTTTAAGAGTATCAAGTGCGTTTTCACTCTAACATAATTATTGTTGGTATTGAATGGTCTTATCTATGATATTTTTTTCATTGTTCATGTTAAAATATCACCGACAAACTCTCTCTGTCCCCAGTAGAATTTTCTAGATTAATGGGCAAATAATCAATGGCAGTGGAAATCGAGAAAAGTCTGGAGACTTTGGCAAAAGCAAGAGAATGACGGTGAAGAAATTTTCTAGCATCCGTTGGACAAGCAATCACCGACTTATGTCATATAATGTGTATGTGTCATTATGCGTATTGAGGAGAGTGGGGAAGAGAAGAAAGGAAGAAGAGAGAAAGAGAGAAAGTGGAGAGAAAGTGTGAGTGAAAGACGAGAGAGAAAGTGGCCCGTGGGGGGGGTGTCGGGGAGAGAAAAATAGTGAGGGAAAATTGCAAAAGAAGATATAAGAGTTTTTGTAAATTGTAGTTCGACTTATTAATAAAAGTATATTTTCAGATTAGTGCCTCCCTTCCTTCATCCTCAAATCTCAAGAGTTCATATTTGTCCTCCTATCGAAAGGTAATTTTATTCATAATCAGATATTAAATGTGGATATTTCTTCTAACAAGCGAGATTTAAACTTTGATTCATTATTTGTGAATAATTAAACCCTTTTTTAAATCCAATTTCCATTGATTGATTTTTGATCTTTTCTTTAATACTTTTCTAGCTAGTTTCACGTAAAAGTTAACTTGTATGCGAATATAATGTACATAATTTATACTTTCTTCGTTAAAAAATATAAGGCATTTTTAATTGAATCTCACCTCTTAATAAAATAGTTATCAACTTTTCAACTAATCCTATCTTTTTATATTTACCTTTATTAAACACTTTATAATAAATATAAAATTATTATTAATAAAGATGCTTTTCAAATAAAGGAATTTGGACTCCATGCTTGTCCCAACTACATGCATCCAGTACCTGTCTCCACGTGTCCTTATCACATGCTCTTAAGATAGTCAATGGTTTTAAAGAATTTATGCAATTAGATTCGGTATTCACCCAATCTTTCTCTTTGCTTTTTTTTTTTTTTTGGCCTAAAACGTTGCATACGCCCATAAAGTCACAAGCTTCAAAACGTGGATTTATATTCCTTACTTTTTTTTTTATTTAAAGGTAAATAGTTCAGATACATTAAAAAGAAAATAATAAAATGAGCTAAAAGTTAGAAGAAGAAACAAAAAGGAGATACGCATCCGTTTCCATTGATTTATATTCCTTGCTCTATACATCATCTGATAAAAGAAAAATCAGTTTTTTTTCCCCCTTAATTTTAGAGCTAGAGCTTCCTCGTTGTCCTGTGATGATGTCTGTCTGAGACACCATACTGAGACTAAAAATTACTCCTATCACATGTTGCGCAGAAAAAGCAACACCAAAACCTGTGACTGGATTAAAAAAATGAAACGATTTTTCATAAACCCATTACTGTTTGATGGCACCAAATAAGGAAGGTAATCTTCTTTTTTCCCCCAGAATACAAGGAAGGTAATCAAAGATATATCTTGTCACCGCAGGCAACAAAAAACGGAAGGATTGAGTGAATACCGACTTCGGTTGAATCAACTCTTTAAAGCTATTGACTGTCTCGAGAGGTATGTGATGAGGACACGTGGAGACAGGTACTGCATGCATGTAGTTGGGACAAGCATGGGATCCAAATCTGAGACAAAAAAAACAATGATTACACTTTAAAAAATAAAAAATGTCTTATTTTTTTAATATTCAACTCATCAAAAAATATTTTATATTTTTAGACAGAGGGAGTAATTCATAAAGTGCACTTTCTATGTTTCAAATTATAATATACTTTTAAATAAAATTTCATATATCAATAAATTTCATAAAATACATTTAATAACATTATTTTTTTAAAATAAAAATATAAATTTTAAAAAATACCCTTCATTTAATTTATTGAAAAAAGAGAATGACTAAAATTAAACAGAGAATGAGAAAGGTTAATATTGAAATAATTTTATTTAATAAAATATTAATATTTTTAAAGTGTCTTATATTTTAAGATATAAAATATTTTTTTAAAATATTTTATAATTTGAGATGTAGAGAATGTTATATATATATATATATATATATAGAAAGAGAGAGAGCTAGAATTCATGTCTGCTGCCTCCAATTAGAGTTCCAAGTTCACCCTGTTTAAAAAGTTAAAGAGGTACTCTATTTAACAAATAAAATCATTACAAATAAATGATACACAAAATTTATTTAACTCAACTGATGCAACATTATATATTTTTATTGGACAGATAATAAATAATGTGATACATTCTATCCATCCAATAATTTCTTAATATCGAAGATTCAGTTATAAATAAGGGGACATAAATTAAATATAATAACAAATTATATTTAAACAGATCATAGATGTACGTACTCATCTTCGGACACGCGTCTAGCTTTTGTAATATTTTATGTCACTCATTTTCGTTGCCGTGAACTTCAATCACCTTTACTAGCAAATAATTCATAGCCAGAGTGGCCATTTGATCTCTCTCCCTCCTCTTCTTCTCTAGCAAAGCATGCCTCAGTCTACTAATCTCCTTCCCTTATTCTTCTTATTCGTGTGCTGGTCATGCGGGACTCTAAACGGCGTCGTTTCGGAGCCACAGACCAATCTTCTGAACACTGCGTGCAGCCCATACTACGAATTCGTGATCTCCAACTTCAGCATCTTCAGTGAGAACCTAAACGCAACGTTTCGAGACCTGAGAGAGCAGGTGAAGGACCAAAACAAGCATTTCGCTACGTCGCAGATAGAAGACCAGAACAACCCAGCTTCGTCTCTTTTCCAATGTAGAGACTACCTCTCCATGGCCGAATGCGTCACTTGCTTCGACGTTGCTGCTGTTCAGATCCGCAACTGCTCCGCTGGGACCCATGGTGCCCGCGTCGACTACGACGGCTGCTTTCTCAGGCACCTATCCCCCAAATTCAAGTCTGACTTCTGTATTGGATAATAGCGTAGATGACCGGTGTTGGAATGAGCACCACCGCTACGGTCATAAGACCTTTAGATTTTAATCTAACAGTCTAAATTAAAAAAAAAAAACATAACTTTAAATTCATGTTCTTTACTCACATTTTGCTATTGGTCTTTACATTTTTTTCAGTATTTTAAGTCTTTATACTTTATCTGTGCAGGAACCTAAAACAATGAAAAACAAAAGCATATGAATCTAAAACACCCGAAAAAAGTGCGAGGACCAATAGCAAAATACAAGTAAAGTGCAGAGACATAAAGTTATGTTTTTTCATTGTTTTTTTGTTATTGAATAAAAATTATAAAAATTTAATAAATTTATTTTATCACCAATATGAATAATATAAATTTAATTTGGATTATCTAATTCAATATTAAATGCTTTGAAATTTTATAAATTGATTATTCAGATCTACTCTAGATAGTCAAGATTTAAAATTTTAAAGCAACTTTTACTAAAAAAAATATTTTTTTGAAAGTTCTAGTTTGAAGATTATGTTTTTTTTAATATTACATTTACCAAAATAAAAATTTATAAAAAATGAAAAAGTTAATATTAATTTAAAAATGTTCAGAGTAGTTAGTCAATTTATAAAAATATTTAATATTTGGTAAAATCATTCAGATTAAATTTATATTGTGTGGATTAGTGATAAATTAAATTTATTAAAATTTTTATAATTCTTATTTTAATAAAAATGGAAAATAAAACTTTTAAATTTAAATTGGCGAGGTTAAAATCTGGATGAAACAGATCTCATCACTTTGATTATGAGCACTGAAACTATTTCCTATTATTATGCAGTTGACATTTGTTACTTACTGCTAAAATATGAGTACTTAGATATTATTAATTCCCTGCCCCTCTTTTTATAAGGATCTAAAATAATAAAAAATTAAAGTGTAGAAACCTAAAACACTGAAAAAAGTACAGAGACCAATAATAAAATAAAAATAAAATGTAGAAATCTAAAGTTATTTTTTCTCATTATTTTTTTGTTATAGAATAAAAATTATAAAAATTTAATAAATCTATTTTATCATCAATTTGGATAATATAAATTTAATTTGGATTATCTAATTCAATATTAAATGCTTTGGAATTTTATAAATTGATTATTTAGATATACTGTAGACAATTAAGATTTAAAATTTTAAAGCAACTTTTACTAAAAAAATATTTTTTTGAAAGTTCTAGTTTGAAGATTATGTTTATTTTTAATATTACATTTACCAGAATAAACATTTATAAAAAATTGAAAAAATTAATATTAAATTTAAAATGTTCAAAATAGTTAGTCAATTTATAAAAACATTTAATATTTGGTTAAATCATTCAGATTAAATTTATATTGTGTGGATTAGTGATAAAGTAAATTTATTAAAAATTTTATAATTTTTATTTTAATAAAAATGAAAAATAAAACTTTTAAATTTAAATCGTCTAGGTTAAATTCTGGATGAGACAGATCTCATCAGCATGATTATGAGCACTGAAACTATTTCCTATTATTATGCGGTTGACATTTGTCATTTACTGCTTAAATATGAGTACTTAGATATTATTAATTCCCTGCCCCTCTTTTCGGCCAAAAACATGTATTATTGGCATGTTTGATTTTGTTTTCAATTTTTTTTTCGTTTTAAAAAAAATTTTCTGAGTAAGTATTTTGGATTTAAATATTTTTTATTTTTTTTTTTTTTTAAAATAAAAACGAAAAATCTTAAGAATGTCTTTATTTTTTTTAATGTTTTTAACATTGCATTATAGTTACTACTGTTAAACACTATTGACTAGCACTATTAGCTGATTTTTTTAACTCAAAATATTTTCAGATTAATGTAATCAAATAGATTTCTTTTTTTTATTTTTAAAAATAATTTTAAAAATTATATTACAAGACATCATTTTAAAAATAAAAATAAGACACAACGAATGATTTCCCGGTTACAACTACCCAAGTTGAAGGTTATCTTCTTATTTTAAAAAAACAAAACAGAAAAGAAAAGAAAAAGAAATGACAGTTGTGAATAGTAGAGCTTAGACATAAGATATATTTATTGCCACGTCATTACTTTTGCTCGTGTTTCAGATTGACTAGTGATTAATTAACTAATATTATTGATTTTTAATTAATACAAATAGAGATATGAGGAAAATATAATATCTAAGAACACATATTTTTTAATTATTTTGAAAATAAAAACTATATTACTTATTAAGTTTCAGAGGATTTTTTATGATGAGTAGTGAAGAATGTTACAATTTAATGAAAAATTTTCATGGTCATTAATAGTAATTTTAATTTTAATTGCAAATAGGCCAAAGTCCAAAATTGATTATCCCAACCATACTTGCTAGCTTTCCATATGCAGCATTCTCTGAAGCATTTTTTGACAGAAGAAACAGATGGAATTTAAAAAAACAAACAAACAAACAAAGAGGGACACGAGTCTCATCTCTACACATACACAAGTATTAAAGAGACAGGATACGTTAACTATACATCTTCTCAAGTACTTGAAACTTGAAAGAATCTAAATTGCTCTGTTTTTCCTTTATTTGTGCCTTCCCATATATACGAAGTTGCTAGATTATTCAACTTCATCATTCTCCCGATTCGGTTTCCCATTCTTCGCAGAATTTCCCCTACATGATAAAAAAATATCATGCCACATTAATGCAAAGGTTTGAGTTTCACCTATAAATGCTATAATACAAATCGTCAATAGATGCCTTGGACAATAGTACTCCCTCCGTTTTAAATTATAAAATACTTTTAGATAAAATTTCATATACCAATAAACCTTATTAAATACACTTAACAACCTTATTTTTCAAAACAAAAATATAAACTTTTAGAAAATATCCTTCATTTAATAACCTTAAATCTACACTCAATTAGTATTAAATAAAGTGAGAGAAAGAATAATATTCAAATAAGCCAATTTAATACTTCCTCCGTTAAAAAATGTAAGGTATTTTTAACCGAATCTCATCCTTAATAAAATAGTTATCAACTTTCAAACTAACTTTATCTTTTCATATTTATCCGTATTAAACACCCTATAAGAAATATAAAGTCATTCATTAATAAGAGCGATTTTTAAAAAAAGGTAATGATTACATCTCAAAAGACTAAAAATGCCTTTCATTTTCGAACATTCAACTCCTAAAAAAATACTTTATATTTTAAACGGAGGGAGTATACCTTTAATCTTCTTAAAGTGTCTTATAATTTGGGACAGTAAATCTCTCCCAAAAGTGTCTTATAATTTAAGACAGAGGGAGTATAATAAATTGATATATTCCCTCTAGTCTTTGTTATAAAGCACTTTTAACTATTTTATCGAAACCAAGGAGACGTAGCCATTAATTTTTTCTAAAAATTGAATAAATTTTCAATTTTACCCCTATTTAAATGAAAAATTTTTAAATTTGTATTACATTCTCTCTTATAATTAATGAGTTTAAATAGGGATAATATTTTAAAAAAATATAATTAAGATCTCATCAATTTCCTTATATTAAGGATCAAGAAATCTTTATAAATTAGGGACCAGAGAGAGTAAATAAGACCATCAATACTGAATTCATGTGCACTAGACTATCGATGATATTGGAAAAATTATGTGTGATACGTTTTCTGGTTTGTTAAGGTACGAGGTCAGCACTTTCTTCAGTGAGACAACCTCATTCAATGTGGGAATCCTAGTGCAGGAGATCAAGCCATAGAATTCATGTCAGCTACCCAAAAATTGCTAACGAATTTGCAAGCGACAACGTCCACAATCACTGGTTTTTATGCGGCTAGCAAGACGTAAGTTCCTGATAATGGTGGAACTATATATGCCTTCGCTCAATGTATTGAAACTATTACACAGAGTGCTTTCTTGGATTGCCTCAACTCTGGATATAGTAATATGTAGACTTGCCTTCCCAATTCTGATGGTAGGGCTTACGCTGCTAGCTGTTTCTGTTGTATGTGTGTCAAAAGTGTGTGTGTGTCAAAGTCCCACATTGACTAAAAGAAAGACTCTCCTAGTGTATATATACTAAGGAATAAAGTGGGCTAGTAAAATGGGCTTGGAGAAGAAGTGACCTCGCGCATATGAGACAGGCCAACTCAGGGCAATCGCAGTTGAGATCAGCCGATTCGCCCCCCTTGCACGTGAGTTCAAGAGGTAATGGGTTTCTTAACCAAGAACATTTTTTGATCATTAACCAAATTAATTTTCTAAACGTTTTGCATTTTACGTTTGCGTAACCCCAACGTTTCTAGACAAGTGTTTAGATGATTTTTATGACAGTGTAACCGAGCTTTTAATCCGGTGGTAACCCCCCAACGTTCATGTCTCCACCTTCGGGCTATATATAGCTATGGGTGCAGACAGAGCGGAACAAGCCTCTTGAGTTTTTGAGGTTCTCTCCTCCCTCTATCAATTCGTCTGTGTTTACTTTTAGTCTCTGTTGTTCTGTTCCCTCATTCTGTTCCGGTCGTCGGGAGGTGTGCCGTAATAGTTCTTAAGGACAGTATCCTTTCGGGCATGACTCAAGCAATTCGTACCTCGCTGTTCACGTTTCTGCCGGTGTCGCCAACAATCTTAAGAACTATTTAGCCCAATGGCGACAAACAGTGTTGAAAATGTCACTCCTGAAGGTGTGCACAGTGGTTCAGCTGGAGGTCAGTACGTCCCTGCCACTGTTGTTGTCCCCCTACCGAGGCCGTTCCCAAACATATCAAAGATAGAAGTCTTTGACGGCCGGAACTTCAAATGCTGGCAGGAACGAGTCTTCACCGTTCTTGACATACATGGTGTGGCTACTGCTCTTGCTCAATTCGAGCCTCCTGCTGATACTGATCAAGCCCAAAGAGTTGCATGGACTCATGCAAACAAGGTATGCCAACACACTATTATTAGCACTTTATCTAATGATTTGTTCGATGTCTACTGTGTCTACAAGGAAGCTTGTAA